CTTATAAAGATTTTTATAAAGGGCTAAGCACTCGTTAAATTTTCACAGTAGCTTTATGACATAGATATCCCCACAGTACAGCTGAGGAAATACGTACCTAGACTCAGAGACATTAATTTCCCACAAATCATATACGGAGGATCCAGAATGCTAATCCAGACCTGCAGTCTCCAAAACCATCCTCATAAATACTGTTCTACACAGTCAGTCCTCATTCTTTACATATTTGTGAATTCTCCTACTCACTCAAATTTATTTGTATCCCCAAATCAATATTCACTGTACTTTCCCAATCACTTGTGGACAGGTACATGTGCCAAGTGGCAAAAGTGTTCAAACGTGTGATGTATACACTCTCAGCCGAGGTAATGAGTTGCCTTATTTCACAACTGATATTTTAAACAAGTGGCCTTTTCAGAGTCTGTTTAGTGTCACATTCTTCACATTTTGTGCTTTCTGTTGCAGACTTTGCAGTTTAAAATGGCCCCCAAGCAAAGTCCTGATGCAAGCACTCACTGTCTAGTGTTCTCAAAGCCAGGAAGCTGTGATGTGCCTTATGAAGAAAATGTATGTGTTAGGCAAGCTTTCTTAAAGCTGAGTTACAATGCCACTGGCTATAAGTTCAATGTTTGTGAACAACAATCTATATTAAACAATGTAAACAGAAACACATATAAGACAAAGTTATGTATTAATCAATTCACAAAAACGTGACCAGAGGCTCACAGGAACCTAACCTGGTATTTTCTCCGGGGGCAATGATTCAGTGTTTGTCAAAGTGTTCACAGTGACTTTACAGAACATAAGTTCCGCAATTGTTGTTATCTGACATATAACAACAGGAGAGCCACCAAATTAAGAGCATGTTCAGGAACAAGAGATAATTTTCCCCAACCACACAACAGTTTAAGGTTTCTGACAGGATAACCACAGGGACTGGTGATGGTGTCATTTCATAGGCTTACAGACTAAAAACATTAGAATACAACACACAAAGTCTGCAAATGACTATTACTTCACCACAGTGGTTACATGGGGCACATGTATACTGGGAGCATGCAAGACGTTTCAATGGGGTAAAGAAAGAGAATATAGCTGCACTTGTTTATATTACTTCAATTTCATCTTTAAATTCCAAATATTTTATAACACAGTACAGTAATACATGTAGGCAATTTATAAATTCTACTGGCAGTGCCTGTTCCAATTCTGCTGATGGTGTACATGACCAAACAATTTTGGGAGATGACTACTGTAGAGAATCATTGTCAATCCCTGAAAAGAAAACAAACCCCAGAGGCACGTGTCCTACAGTGAGGGGCAGGGATGGTAGCTTTGAGGCCTCACATGGACTGGGAACATCCAAGGAAATCTGCTCTGGCCCCAAGTTGTGATGACCCTCACACAGGACATTCCCATAAGGCATCAACTGCCTTGTATGAGCAATAAATCAGCTGACTGCAAAATTCACTAGATGATCCCAGCTAGGTGCCCTTCCCACTCTAGAAATTTGACAGTTCTATGAAATTCAGAGAAAATAAGATAATTACTTGTAGATAAAGCTATTGTTTGTTGCTGTCAGCCATAAAGGGCTGAGGCATGCCCTGACAGAGCAACAGGCTATCCAGAGAACACCACTTCCTGACTGGGAAGATTCTATGGAATCCCATTAAGATCCAGGGTTGTTCATGTTATGTAAATGTAGTTAAGCTGAATCATATATACACATGCAACTATAAGTGGTCAGCAAAAAAAGAGAGGAAAAATTGACCATAACCAGTGCTGGCAATTTGTCAGCCATTCCACTCAATGAGGGTGTTCTGTGCCCTGGACAAGTCTCAGTTCCCCAAGTGTCTTCAACAGTGTGAGGCCAATGTTTGTCACACATATTTTTCATTTATATCACCTAATCCCAAATCAACTACTGGTGCTCAACTGAAGGCAGAAATACGTTTCAACCCTAAAGGAAAGCTGCATATGACTGACTGAAAGACGGAAATCAGTTTCCAAAGAGTTCCAATGACTTCCTAAGGCATTTCAAAGGCGATTTTTAACAATACCCAATTTTCACAGTATACACTGACTGCAGAACCAAATCCCCAAATTAAAGACTCAGCTATAGTTATTCTGGTTCAAGGATTCACTCCTAAACGTATCACCAAGAGGTTGTGTAAACTGAAATTTGTTATATTTTTTGGTATTTCATATTGATTAAAGTGCTCTCATAACAACTGTGTGATTTAATATACATAGCAGCCAAGCAAAGACGATGGAATAAACACTGTGATTCCCATTTCAGAGGTCGAATATAATAATGTGAAGAGTAAGAGTTAGGTAAGATCATTTGGGTTCAAATCCCAGGCAGATGTGTTCAATTTTTCGAAACCTTCATTTCCTATCAGTTAAGTGTAGACAGTTATATACACCTCACAGAGTTTTTGAGAATGTATACAGTACTCAATGCTTGTTTCCTGTTATCATTCCACAGGAAGTATGGCTACATATTCACAGACCTAATGTGACTAATAAAGTAGAACATCACTTAACACTCAGATTAGTTGTTGAGATACTCTTTTAAGTTTTTTTGTTGTTCAAGTACTCTCTTGAAGACTCAGCATACATGCGTGGACATATGTTTGATATAAAGGTTCTGAAAATCGTGCAGTAAAGAAATCTAGCTGACCACGTATAACCTAACATTATCCCAAAAGTGCATTTAATAGAATCCCCTTTTTGTATAATTACTATAAACACCCACACAAACCTTAAGTTCTTCTGAACATACTTTTAGAAACATCAGTTTTGATAAATTAATGTGAAATGTTAATAACATTATATAGATTAATATTAATAAAATAATGGTAATAATTGACTACAGGACAGGGCACAGGAAATAATCCTTTAAACAAGATCCCCGAAACACATTTTTGCAGCCTGCCTTGAATTTGCCTACAGTCATGCCAAATCCAAAAAAAAAAAAATCTATTTGGGCCATTAAGGCATTTTTACTCTCAGAAAGAACTCAAGAGTAAGTCTGCCATAAACAAAGATTCCAAGAAATGAGTCATAAGGTCATCTGTCAGAAGACATGGTGGTGGGGATTATGTTTTGTACAAAATTGATTTGCATGAGTTACTTTATTCTTCTAATCAACTTGCTAAGAATGGTACATATATCCTGTGCCAAATCACTACCTCCAGGGTCTTTATCCCTGTTTCCTGGTGACTGTGGAAAGCAAGATAAAAGTCAGAATAGAGATAGCTGTAAACTATAAACCACAAAGATGAAGAATCTTTTTCCTCTCTGAAAACTCCAAGAAAGCCGTTATTATGCCACAATCAACAAGAACAACAGTTAACTCAATTATCAGTATTTGGGCCGTCCTGAATATTTCTCTAGAGGCCCCCAGTATGATTAGACACTTGGAGAAAATGTCAAAGTAGACTTCTTAAGAACATTGGTAAGACAGATGGCAGGGTATTGTGATTCTTCTAAAAAATGTGCCAAGTAATTGTTATACTGGAGTCTTAAGTACACCGATTTTATACTACAGCCACATCAAGAAAATCATTCCTCACAGATAATTTTTTTAAATACAACTAATTTTTAAAAAATTAAAACTCAGGCTGCTCAGTTTGGTGGAAGGTGAGTTTCTCTTACTTTGTGATACCGACTACTAAGCTACGGAAACCCCTTTAGTTATGCTTCCCTAGATCCGAAAAATTCTAAAAAATTAGTACTAATACCTGATACTCTGACAGACGAATATATATAAAAAAGGAACCGGCTAAAATACAAAATTGCAAGCATATGAATTAAGTGTAGATGAGTGGTGGTTAACAGTGCCACCCTAGGGAGGAAGGCTATGGATAAGAGCTTCAAGTTTCCATGGTTTTCTGGGGAAAAGAAACGGAATCCAGACCTGTTTGTTCTACAGCTTAATACATCAGCGCTGTGTTCCACAGTGCCTAGGTCCAATAACATCAAGTGTGCAGTTCGGCCACTAAACAGGAGCGGGGCGGGGCGAAGAGTAGCTATTGTCGACCACGATACCAAAGCTACCTGAAATCATCTTGACGCTTCAGTCTTCCCATTTTGCGAGTCTAGAAGCGTCCAGGACAACCGAATCGCGGCTGCGCGACTCTCAGGCCCGACCCAGCACAAAGCGTCGCTCACCTGCGCGGCAATCGCACGCGCACCTGCCCAAGGGCTGGGGAGACGCCCACATCGCCTCGCCCCGCCCGGGCGGACCTATCCTTCTCGGCCCTTTCCCACCACCACCTCCATCCCTGCCCACACATCTGCATCTAACCAAGAGCAGTAACCCGAGAGGGTGTACACGGTACGGTGAGGAATAGCATCCCCACAACCCGCCGCAACCTTTCGGCTCCCTCCCATCCCAGAGCGGTGCAAAGCCACACCGCCTCTCCTATGCCTCGTGTCTCTAGTGCAAGGTCTGTAATAACTTTAAAATTTTTTTTCTAAACTGGTTTTAAGCACAAGTCACTTCCCCGCTCCCTTCCGCCCCTCACCTTCACGAAAGCAATCGGAGTTGTGGTACCTTCGATATCTAACAGGATCACAGTGACTTCGGCGGGCACCGAAAGCACAACCATTTCCCTACCGGAGGCTAACACGACAATCGGCCTACTCGTACTGAGCGCGGAGGGCGGTGCCGGCTGCGCCCCCAGCACGGTCTTAGGTTTCCTACAGCCGCGCAAGGGCCCTCAGAGTTGGCAACCGCGCGCGTCCAGAAGCACTGGCTGGAGAAGCCACCTCCGTGCCCCTGGAAGTGCAGAAGCCGGCTGTACAGGGGATCTGAAATACCGAACTGCCCAGGGGCGGAGGCGAGACCACGTGAGCAAGGAAGGGGGAGGCCCTCCCGGGGCAAGACGGGGCGGGGAGAGGTAAAGACGCTGACGCCGATTGGCCGTCAGAGGGCCGAACCCGATCCGTCAAAATGGGCCTCGCGTGGGCGGGAACAAAGAAGCCAACGCGGGAGACGAGTGCGCGCTCTCCACAGACTGGTTGAGCGAGCGGGAGAGGCCCGGGGCACGTGCAGACGGGAGCCCCGCGAGTGGCGCGCCGGGGATGTGAGTGCCCCTTGCCCTCTACAACACCTAGACCCCTCCCCGCCCACTGCCTCCAATTTGGCATATTTATAGTAATCTGACCGGGCCCGCGCCCCTCCTCCTGTTCTCAGCCTGCAAGAGGCCGTGCTGGGCCCTGGTTTGCCTGATTACATCGGCCGCGGTTCCGGCTGATCGCCTAGGGAGGCCCGACGCGCCCCAGAGCCTGCGCGCCTGCGGCGGTAGCGGAAGAGGCGCCCGCGTAGCGCCACGGCCCAGAGGGGCCGCCGCGCGGCCGCTTCCTGTTCGGCTGGTTCCAACCAGCTTGAGGACAAAACACGCGTGCGCGCGGCGACGAACGGGCAGACGCGCTCGCCGCCTCGGTCGCTGGCTCCCCGCGCAGTCCGCCGTTTTCCGGCCTCGGTGCTAATCGGTAGCAGCACTCGTCGCAGCATCTCCGCACTAGGGGACCGTGGGCTTTGGAAGGAGGCGGGGTTGACGGCTCTTTGCTAGAGTGGGCTGAACCGGACGGCAGAGACAAAGGCTTTCAAGGCAAGGGGGTCTGTGGCCCTGTGACGGCGCTGCTCGGGATTTTTGACCCCAGGACTTTTCGCCCCTTCGTTTTTCTCTTCTAACGCTTCTCTCATCCTAAGCCCGCGACCTCGCTCCTCACCGGGAGGGCCGCGATGGAGGTTCCTCCCCGGCTTTCCCATGTGCCGCCGCCATTGTTTCCCTCCGCTCCCGCTACTTTAGCCTCCCGCAGCCTCTCCCATTGGCGGCCGCGGGCACCGAGGCAGCTCGCCCCGCTCCTCCCGTCGCTTGCTTCCACCTCCGCCCGGCAGGGGGCGCGACGGCCCCAGCGCCACGTCACCGCCCAGCAGCCCTCCCGATTGGCAGGCGGGGCGGCTATAAAGGGAGGGCGCAGGCGGCGCCCGGATCTCTTCCGCCGCCATTTTAAATCTAGCTCCATACAACGCTCCGCCGTCGCTACCGCCACGACTCGAACTGCGCGCCAGCACCCCACAGCCGACAACTCCGCAACCATGGAGGACATGAATGAGTACAGCAACATAGAGGAATTCGCAGAGGGATCCAAGATTAACGCGAGCAAGAATCAACAGGATGACGGGTACTGCACGCTTCTCTTCTCTTCCCCCTCCCCCGGCGCCCCTCACGCGCCCTTCGTCCCTCGGGAGCCGCGCGCTGCCTCAGTTCCTGCCCCTAATCGGTTCCCCACGTGCCCGCTAGGTCCCACCAGCTTGGAGGGAAGGGGGAAGGGAGAGATGAGCTGACTCGAGAGGGCCGCGAAAGGTGGGGGAAGGGTTGGAGGGGTTGAAGGAGGGCGGTGGCATCTGCGTCCTGAGTGCGCAGGCGCCGCGTGGGCCCGAGGGGGAGGGGCGTCCTCGCTGCGCCGCGTGCTGCTGCTACCGCCGCCTTTTCATTGTCTGTCGCGGCTCCGCGCAGTTTTCTTGGAGAGAGTTTAGGGAACTCTTGGTTCCAGAACCAGTGTACGACTGGTACCCAGATCACCAGCACGCGGCGGTATAACGGGCTCTTTAGGTGGAACCTAGGCTTGACAGCTGAGAAAGGAAATAGGGCTAAGTTGGGAGGGATCAGTTTACGAAGTTGAATTTTCTAAACTAAGTCTGTAACGTTTTGTTGGCCACGTTTATATTATGCAATGTGGAGAGCAAGTTTTGTCTAAGTGACCTCGATATAATTTGGAGATTTTTGAGGTTTGTTTATAGGGTTTGGAGATTTTTGTGGTTTATTCTTAATATGTATTCGTAAGCGTGGATTAAATTGTTCTGCTCTTAAGGGCAAACATCCCCTGCATTTCGTAGTTAAACATAATCGCAGGACTGAAATACCATTTGACTGTTGCTAACCTTTTTTTAAAAACTTTTTGTTTCCAGTAAAATGTTTATTGGAGGCTTGAGTTGGGATACAAGCAAGAAGGATCTGACTGAATATTTGTCTCGATTTGGGGAAGTTGTAGACTGTACAATTAAAACAGATCCAGTCACTGGAAGATCAAGAGGATTTGGATTTGTGCTTTTCAAAGACGCTGCTAGTGTTGATAAGGTAGCACATTTTCATTGTGCTGCTTCTGTGTGCCTTTCCCCTCCCCTCCCAAATTGTTGGGTAGGTTACGTGTGGCTGTTAGATTAAATAAGTCTGTCTTCTAGGTTTTGGAACTGAAAGAACACAAATTGGATGGCAAATTGATAGATCCCAAAAGGGCCAAAGCTTTAAAAGGAAAGGAACCGCCAAAAAAGGTTTTTGTGGGTGGACTGAGCCCGGATACCTCTGAAGAACAAATTAAAGAATATTTTGGAGCTTTCGGAGAGGTGCGCTGTGTGATTATGTTTATGTGTATTTTACGTTTGATAATGTTTTTAATCATCCCTGGTTCACTTACAGAACAAATTCATGTCAGGTGAAAATGGGATCAAATTACTGCGTAGGTCCCTTCTAGTCACCTTATTCGCTGGTTATGTGCTATAAAATAAGGGAAATGAGTATCTATTGGCCAAAACGAGTATGCTTTGGTGTGGCCATTCCACTTAGTAACTGGTGGCATCTGTTGGGTAGGAAATACTAAATGAAGTTGTGCTCTCCGCTCTGAATGGTTTGCAGATGAAACAAATTATTCTAAATTGATGGTAGTAAAGCAGTTTCTGTACATAAATCATCTGGCTGGAAAAACATGTTGAAGCTTGGAAGAGGGACCTGTAGCATTTTGAAACCTTTAGGTAGCGCTTTACCATTACTGGATGATCTTGAGTGTAGGTATCTTGATTTCAGATTGAAAATATTGAACTTCCCATGGATACAAAAACAAATGAAAGAAGAGGATTCTGTTTTATCACATACACAGATGAAGAGCCAGTAAAGAAATTGTTAGAAAGCAGATACCATCAAATTGGTTCTGGGAAGGTAAAGCCATTTTAATTAAACAAAATTAAAACTGGTACATGTAATAATTTGTTTTGATGATAAAATGACTTTAGAACTTCAGTAATTCTGTTTATTCTCTGTTTAAATTTGATTGTAGTGTGAAATCAAAGTTGCACAACCCAAGGAGGTATACAGGCAGCAACAGCAACAACAGAAAGGAGGAAGAGGTGCTGCAGCTGGAGGAAGAGGTGGGACTAGGGGTCGAGGCCGAGGTGAGTGAGGCTTATTTCTTGGTTTTTGGCTCAGTGGTTTAAGCTGTAACTGCTAAATATGAATAAGCCCACAAGAAAGTAGTACCAAATTTTAAGCTGTTACAACTTGAAAAATGCTTCTTGGTGGGGTATTGTTTTTTAGTTCACTGTTTTCACCTGCTCAGAGAATAGCCACTCTTGAGTGTCGTCACTGAAGAAAATACTGTTAGAGTTAAGATTACATGATAACATCATGGTGTGATAGGTTTTCTTGGGCAGGAGTCCTTGTTGTAAAGTTTAAACAATCTTCCCATCTTTATTCTGATTTTCCATTAGGTTTAAGGAAGCTTGATACTGACACAGTTGGTCTTTCTGCCTCCCTTGTTACGAAAACTGAAATGGCTATTTTCCCATACAGGAATATAAATGTCCGTTCTGACCTTTTAAGATTGCAGGGTGTAAGGAACAGAAACACATCATTTTGTGTTGAGATTGGGGGTCAGAAGTTGTGTCCTAACAATCGTGTATTGTTTCAGGTCAGGGCCAAAACTGGAACCAAGGATTTAATAACTATTATGATCAAGGATATGGAAATTACAATAGTGCCTATGGTGGTGATCAAAACTATAGTGGCTATGGCGGCTATGATTATACTGGGTATAACTATGGGAACTATGGATATGGACAGGGATATGCAGACTACAGTGGTAAGAATATTTAACTTAATTTCATAAACCTGTGGTATTAAAGTTTAGTGTTAAAGTACAATCCCATTCTGAAGTTGTTTGGGTTTTCCATTTATAAGTGTGTGGAGCTAATGTTTTGGAGGCATTTTATAGTTAATGGGTGTGATTATGACTTTGGTTACAAATGTTCTATAATGACTTAAAATATTTAATTTTTATACTTGGCATGCATTGTTTTACATGTTTAATAGCTTTTAAGTAGAATGTGTAGTGAGACCGTTTTATAGAAAATTCTTAGTAGAATTTTTTGTCTTTTAAAATAGGCCAACAGAGCACTTATGGCAAGGCATCTCGAGGGGGTGGCAATCACCAAAACAATTACCAGCCATACTGAAGGAGGACATTGGCATAAACAGGTGTGTATAAGAGTCCAAGAAGCCAGTGGAAATGTCTAATTTAATTTAAAGATCAATAGACAAATGAAAAATAACGTAAAAACAAAATATTACGTAGTCTGTTCTTACTAAATTGTTGATTTTTTTAATTGCTTTATGAGCCTGTTTTGCCTAAAATGTCTATAGATCTTTAACTTTAAAGTCTTATCTCTCTTTAGTATTACAGAAAAACTTAAGAGTTTTTCTGTTTGCTTTGTGTACCAGGTGGTCTAGAGGAATAATTAAACTTTTTAGAACTATTAACAGGTAAAGTACTGAAATGGGTACAACTTAAGGAAAACAAGAATGTTGTCTTCTGACTCTGACATTATACCTTGTTTGTACCCGCCAGCGGGAACTTCATTGCAGGCCGTGTGTCACCCTGACCACGTCTATCTCTGGGGGTCGCACGTTGCGGGCAGAGCGCAAGGCATACACCAGAAAACGCTGTCCTGTGGTATGGTCTCTTCCAACTTCATGTACCAGCGTAAAGATTAAAGTGGAAAACTTCAGACTTTGGCTTCTTTTTAATCTTTTTGAAGATTAAGTGTCTAAACTTAACTTAAATGGTTTTTTACAGGAGTTAAAGTACATAAATGCCTTTTTACAGCTTAATCATTTTGGTCTTCTGTTTAGTGTTGTATTTCAATTGTGGAGCCTCATTTTAAGTGTTCATTCTTTAAGATTTAATGCTTGCTTTTTCTTTTTATAGCTAATAGTGAAATCTACAAACCAAAACAAGAACTTTAAAATCTGGGATATAAATTAAAGATCATATGCACACAGCAATTTGTTTCCTTGGAATAAAATAAGCCTATTAGAAATTTCTGTCTGTTGTAATGGCATTTTACTTGGCTTACTAGAGCTACTTCTAGTAGACCTTAGTCTGGCACAGTTCAAACTGTGAATGTGGGAAGATTGCATTCCCAGGTACTTTTCTAAATAAATTTAATTTGAATATCATTTGGGAACTCCAGGGTGAATTTTTTTGCCAATTTATGCATATGATCTTTAATTGAAGAAAAGAATAAAGTGAGGACTTAAAACAATTCATGAAAGTGGACCTTTGAAAGCTTACTAGAGTTGCAGAAATGTAATTGCTATTTTGTTTTTATTTCTAGGGGGAGATTGCTAAAGTAACCCATCTTGCAGGACGATATTGAAGATTGGTCTTCTGTTGATCTAAGATGATTATTTTGTAAAAGACTTTCTAGTGTACAAGACACAAGTGTGTCCAACTGTATATAGCTGCCAGTTAGTTTTGTTTTTACTTTGTCTTTTGCTATCTGTGTTATGACTGGATGTGGATTTGTGTTTATACAAATTTTTTTTGTATGATTTCATGTTAAAACCTCAAATAAATGCTTCCTTTGTGATTGTTTTTCTGCGTCGGGTACTAAATAGCTCTGTAAAATAATTTAAATAAGCAATAATTAAGGCCCAGTTCATTTTGTAGAGAGTATCGTCTATAGGAAAAAACTGTGGTCCTTTATGAATAGCCAGCTACAGTGTCACCCTGTTCCCTATTTTTGTTAGATGCATTCTGTGTTCTAAGTCCTCATTTTTCCTGTTGGTTAACCGAGATTTCCACCACACCTTTAAATGTTTCCTTTATCTGGAGATGCTATCGTGCTGTCCTTAGTGAAAGCTTTGTGTAGTAGACCTTGAGTTCTCTGGATTATAGTTTGGAGATAATGTACCTTTTAAAGCATGTTGGTAGCTTTGATGAGTAGAAAAGATTTTGCTTTGTTCCTGTCTGGAAAGCCATTTGCTAAATGCATCTAATTTAATAGTCTGCTAGGAGGAGCTTTGGCTACCCATGATGTCATGACTTTAAATGTTCTCTTGATGATGACCAGATACCCAGGGAAGAAGGACTGTCAAACTGATAGTAGCTACATCAAAAGTGATTACATTATAACACAAGGACTTCACAGGTTTGAAATTATACTAAAGTTGGAACAAAAGTTCTGGTGAAGTCTAATTTACTTGTACTGTTATGTTACAGCAAGCACCAAACAATAAATTACTTTCTTTCTTTGGGGGCATACTTAGAAAGTTCTATTGAGTGTTAACTATGATGTGTGAGTTTTTAGAAAAAGTCATGGTAGTCTCAATATAATGCATTAATTAGTGCATGAGCCAAGTAGGTAAGCATACTCACATTCAGACGCAGGAAGACCTAGTAGGAAAGGTACAGTTCAGTCTTAAGTATGTAAATGCAAATCTTAAGTGACCAGATCCTGTCATGGCAGATCTTCATGGTGCATTAAAAAGCAGTTTTAACCCTAGACTTTTTGAGGGTTTCCTTGGTAAAATCCAAGCTTTGAATTTTATATTTAGTGGAATTTAGTTTTGAAGTTACATTTTGTGGTTCCACGTTGGCCACTGGGGTTTGGGACACATACTACATGCAGAGTAGTTGACTTCATTTTCAAATATGAATTTACACCGTTTGAACCTGTGTCTTGGTGCCTGAAAATTTGTTCCAATGATGTTTGTACTTGCTGGGCTTTCAAGCTATAAATACCCTTGGCCTTGTTCTGCTAGTTGCTATTTGACCTTAACCTAAGGCTGAGTACAATGTTGGCTATTGGAAGGGATTCTGTATTTGAATATGCAACCTTAGGCAACAGATTTTCATTTTATGTTAAAGTCAGTAGGTGCAGTGTCTTCAGGGCAGTGAATCCTGTACATTTAAATTGATTAGGTGACAAGTTGATGTTGAGATTGTCCTCCCTGATAAATGAATAAAAGCTTTTTAAACAAAATCCAAACTCTTCAATCAAGTCTTGATATATGTGAGTGAAGAAATAGATTGTCTTGAGTTGAAGGAGTGAGAATGCACTTGGTATTTTTCTCCACAGGGCTCTAGACTTCCCAGGTCTAGGCCCTATAGATGCCATCTGATAAAAATTTGAAGTAAATAGGCCAAGGCTAAGTGCTTTAGGTACTGAATGATAGTGTGAAGGTCTTACACTAAAGTAATTTGACAAGTTGGTAGGAGGGGTTGAGGTAGAAATTATGACGTATTTATGACAGACAACCTCCATCTTGTTCATGCTTCCTGGATTGTTTTTGACTAAGTTGTGTGTGATGTTATTCGTCCTAACAATGTCAACATTAATATTCGTCTGATAAGTACATTTACAAGATCAGAAACAGTTAAGATGACTTGGGATACTAATATGGATAAGCAATTTTATTGTTACCATTGATCTTTTTCATAATTGTGATGGGGAGCCCTTGCTAATCTTAATACAAAGACATCAAAAGTTTATCACTACCCATTGCCAAGATTTGATTGGATGTCAACCACAGGATGCAAAGTTTCATTGATTTGAAAAGGTGATTCAAGGACTCCGTGGTTAAACTGGAATTTTTGACGATGCTGTCTAGTGATGTCACTGAAAAAGTCTTCCTCAAACTTTACAACCTAATAGACATCTACTGTGGTCTCAGAGCAAAAGCAACATAGCTTGGTTCGTTTTCATACAAATCATTGAAAAATTGCCATAAAATAAGCTGTTCTTTTAGGATTGGTTGGGATTTTGTGTGTATATACAGTGTGTGTGCATAGGTCAAGTTGGATGTAGGATTTTAGATTTGGTTGTATAGCAAAAATTTACCTTTGCTTTTTATAAAACAAAATATAGTGGTGGTCTGGGAATTAATGGTAATGCTGAACATGTGCTAAGTGTCCATTTAATCTCCAGTTTTATCAGTAACTCAAGAGACATACCTCCTTTCAGCGGGGCATATCATTTCAGAGGTTGTTGATAACTGATTTGTAGTTTGGAAAAGGATATCCAACATAATCTGATTTGTTTACTAAAGATGTGGAAATTTAGAATAATAATGCCTAAGATTTGGGTTTATCAGAGACCAGCACAAGTTAAAAATGTGTGAGAAACTAGCCTGCAGACAAGTTTTCTCATACTGTTTCTTGAAAATCTGACCAAAATGAATTCCTCTAAGACAAAAAAAAAAAAGATGCATGTCTATACATTAAATGAAGTTTAATAGAAATGCAGGCTTGTTGGAAAGGTATAGATTTAAAAGGCTCTAGTAGTTGGTTCTTAGGGTGAACTAAAATTATTGAACTTGCTATCATGGATGAAGTTGCGAAAAAGGGAATATCTTTGCATATTCTGTACTCGGGTGTTTGTGTATGTGTTGGCTGGTGAAAGCTCATACAGAGTAATTGTTTTATTGATGGACAGGAATAGCCAACCCCACAAAAGGCCCCATGCAAAACCATTAATTACCTGATTTTTCAAGTTGGGGAAGTTAACTAGTGTAAAATAACATTACATTTTGGAAATTACTAAGTTTCTACCAAGTTTCAAATAGAAGTGTGTGTCAGATTTGGGAATTAGATTTAAGCATTCAGATTGCTCAGCAGTCTTAAGTACAGTTTGTGACTGCTGAGATCTTTTGTAGGAAAATAGAATTTTATTACAGGTTATTCATTTTTGTTCCTCTGATGAAAGAAACCTGGAGCAGTTACTCATTCCCATGAGAGATCAGTCCTATAGAATTGACAGTGATAATTTAGGTTGCTCTTGAACCGTGAGATGTTTGGGGACATAAACATTCATAGAACTTGCAAGCAGAGGGATGAGGAGGGTAGTGTGGTAATGGGGGCTAAGTGATTTCAATAGGGTAATTAAAAGAGTTTTCATTACCAGGAAATCCCTTAAGTATTTTCCCCCATGGACTACACGTTCGGAATGGCTGCACTTGACAAATACATCCCTCATTATGTAGTGACATTACTGTTAATCAAAGGAATATAGTTGTCAGAATTAAGTGTGATAATCACCATACCACCAAGTTACTAATAATGACAGCTAAAATCAAGGATGTATTATTAGCTTATGCAGATTTTCTAAAATACGTGATTTTCTACATATTTAAAAATCGTGCTGACTTGTAAAATAGTAAAAGTAAAGCCAAAAATGTTCACTACTTTCTAGGACTTTAGAACTACCCTTACCACATAATTGAAGATTAGGAAAAATCAAAGGCATATTTGAGCATGCATTAGGTTCATAATCTGGAATTTTAAAATACTTGCAGTATAGATAAAATTATAATTGCTGAAACTTCATTTGAATGATTTCATCAGCAAAAGACCCAAATTACACCTTTGATCACCACTTAACATTTTTTTCATATTTAATTATAATCCATGTAAAATAAATACAGGACTTATAGCCTGTCAAAATTACGAAGTATCCTACTCTGGTCTAGGTCTCCCCTTATTCTTTTAATTAAAAGCTATTTTAATCGCTATTAGTGTGATGTTTTTAGAACACCTTGATACAGATAATTAGCAAAGGAGAATTTCCCATCCAAGACAGCAAAGTTCAGATACACCATTACACAATTCTCTGCTGGCCATGGATTTTTTTTGTTTGTAATATCTTGAACTGCAAAGAGAGGAGGGTCTCTTTTGTGTTGGTGGCAATGAGATTTGCCATTGGCCCATAGTACAGCCAGGCTAGTGTTAATTGTTTAATCTGGATCTTTATTTTAAATTCTGGGTGTAAATAACTTGTTCCCTGATGAAATCATTCTTGTCTTACTTCATTATGGATACCAATGGGTAAATTTCATTCTCCACCTTTAATTAGAAACAATAAAGCAGATGCTCATAACCAGGAAATAACACATTAATTACTGTTGGTAATACACATTTTTCTCTCTTCATTAAGGAAAATGTTCAGTTTATGAGCTACCTTCATTGCCACGAGAAAGGGAAAAAATAAGGGATTTACATGAAGATGTCAAAAAATTCTTAGAATTATTCCAAAAATAGTCCTAAGATCACATCCTATTCTTTATTGAGCATTACACATTCACATTTCATTAACACAGTGTAAGAGTATGTACTCAGGTATACATACATATATCTACAGATTAGGAGTATATAATTTTTCAAAAAGTATTTCCTTATGCTCTCAGCAACTATTGCCTAAGTTCAAACCAATCCTGAATACAAACAATGCAATAGTTCTTTAAATCTTGAACTAAAAAGAGCTTTAAAAATACAAATTCAACTAGCTAAGACTAGAGGAAGGTAAAAACCTAGAGAAGTAAGCATGTCATTTAAAGGTTCTATGGCTTCCTGGATAAAGGCCACATAAAAGTGTAAGTCCAATCCCAGCTGGAGATTTTGATACCCAATTGCTCCATTAAACTAATGGTTTCCAAAGGGTTACACTCTCAAAACCAGAGATAACCCAGTTTCCTCAGCTATGCATTAAAGGGAACCTCTATAGAAATTTAGACTAAGATCTGGGAAGGTAAGAGGCCTCAAGTGCCTGGAAGAAGCAAATGAGAATCGTTTCTACCTCCTAGATGTCTGTTTCTACAACTATTTTTCTCAAATATAATGACCAACACTTAATAAACTAAAATCTCCATTTACAACAACGTGAATGGATCTAGAGGGTATTCGTGTTCAGTTAAGCCAGGCAGAGAAAGACACATACCATATGATTTCACTTATTTTTGGAATATAAATACAAAGCAAAACAGAATGAACAAAATAGCAGTAGATTCATAGACACTGAGAAGTAACTAGTGGTTGTGATGGGGTGGGGGGGGGAGGTTAGGGTGCACGGGTGGGAAGGGTGAGGGAGATAAAGGGGCACAAAAATTCTCAATCATAAATTCATCACAGGGATGATAGTACAGCATGGAGAATTTAGTAAATAATTCTTTAACATCATTCTATGTTGACAGTAACTTCACTAGTGGGAGTGAGGATTTAATAATATGGGTTATCAGCAAAAGACCCAAATTACACCTTTGATCACCACTTAACATTTTTTTCATATTTAATTATAATCCATGTAAAATAAATACAGGACTTATAGCCTGTCAAAATTACGAAGTATCCTACTCTGGTCTAGGTCTCCCCTTATTCTTTTAATTAAAAGCTATTTTAATCGCTATTAGTGTGATGTTTTTAGAACACCTTGATACAGATAATTAGCAAAGGAGAATTTCCCATCCAAGACAGCAAAGTTCAGATACACCATTACACAATTCTCTGCTGGCCATGGATTTTTTTTGTTTGTAATATCTTGAACTGCAAAGAGAGGAGGGTCTCTTTTGTGTTGGTGGCAATGAGATTTGCCATTGGCCCATAGTACAGCCAGGCTAGTGTTAATTGTTTAATCTGGATCTTTATTTTAAATTCTGGGTGTAAATAACTTGTTCCCTGATGAAATCATTCTTGTCTTACTTCATTATGGATACCAATGGGTAAATTTCATTCTCCACCTTTAATTAGAAACAATAAAGCAGATGCTCATAACCAGGAAATAACACATTAATTACTGTTGGTAATACACATTTTTCTCTCTTCATTAAGGAAAATGTTCAGTTTATGAGCTACCTTCATTGCCACGAGAAAGGGAAAAAATAAGGGATTTACATGAAGATGTCAAAAAATTCTTAGAATTATTCCAAAAATAGTCCTAAGATCACATCCTATTCTTTATTGAGCATTACACATTCACATTTCATTAACACAGTGTAAGAGTATGTACTCAGGTATACATACATATATCTACAGATTAGGAGTATATAATTTTTCAAAAAGTATTTCCTTATGCTCTCAGCAACTATTGCCTAAGTTCAAACCAATCCTGAATACAAACAATGCAATAGTTCTTTAAATCTTGAACTAAAAAGAGCTTTAAAAATACAAATTCAACTAGCTAAGACTAGAGGAAGGTAAAAACCTAGAGAAGTA